CCTTGTTCCCCCCCTTTCCCTAACCTGGCATTGCTTCCTCCTCTACCCTAGGAGCTTCCCAGGGTGTGAACACTACAGCAGGACCCCCAACCCCTCCATCCCACCCTGTTCCCCCCTTTTCCCTAGCCTGGCATTGCTCCCCCCTTCCCCAGAACCTGCCCTGGATGTGGGAATGACATCCCCCTCATCCCAACCTATTTATCCCTCCCTTTCCCCAGCCTGGCATCGCTCTCCCTTCCCTAGGAGCTGCTGGGGCTGGGGAGCTGTTTGTGCCCAGCTTTCCTCCCCCTCCAGCTGGATGGATATTTCCTGACTTGTTTATTTGTATAAATAGATGCTAATTTATGCTCCCTTCGTCTTCCTCCTTGTACAGACAGAATTCCCTGTAAATAGCCGTAGGAAGTGCCGCTGTGTGCGTGACCTGCTGTGCTGTGGCCGTGGTGGTGCATTTCTATATATATATATATATATTTGAGGTTTTGTTTTTTTGGTTTTTTTTCTTGTTTTTTTTTTTTTTCCTTTCTCAGTGTGGTAAATTTGCTTGTCCAAATATCACTTTTAAACAAAACGAAACAGCAAAAAAAAAAAAAAAAACCCAACAAAAAAAATAAACCCACTCCATTATTTAAAGATTTAAGGAATTAAGTCAATTTACAGCAACGAGGTTGAGTCACCTGGAGCAAATCAGCTCTGGGGTGAGGGATGGGAGAAGGGCTTGGAGTGTTGCTGCTTTGCTCCAGGGATTTGGGATCTCGTGTTCCTGTAGTACTGTGCTTCTGTGGAGACTGTGAATAAGTGGATATTCCTGTAGGATTTGCCCTTTATTTATTTTCCTTGGAGAGCTGTGTCTTTATTTTACAGGGTTGGTTTTTTTTCCCCCCCTCCTCTCCCTCTTTTTCCCCCCTTCCCTTAATTCCATCTTTCCTCCCACACCTTGATTCCATCTTTCCTCCCTTTTTCCTATCCCCTTCTCCCCTCCCTCTCTTTTTTTTTTGTGAAGTTTACTTCTGGAAGAGTTAACACTGTACTGTACAAATGTCAAAAGTGTCAAAAAAAACCAACAAAAAAAAAAAAAAGAGTTCAATTTCCTAAAGATCACTGTATTAAAAAGAGATGTTGTGAAGAAATAAAACAATGCTGATCACAGGTTCCTCAGGCTCTGTGTGGGCACAGGGGGGAACATTTCCTCTGCTCCCTGTCCTTGGTGTCCCTGGGCTGCCAGAAAGGACCACAAAAAGAATCTATTTCCTTTAACTAGCATCCCCCAAACGGCTCTTGCTGCTGTGGAGAGAAGAATTTTGTCCCTCTGGATAAAGGACAGGAAGGACCAAGGCAAAGCTTTAAGGCACAGCTTTAAAATGAAGGAGAAAAACCACATTCAGGTAGTTGGAGACAAAATAAGCTCCTGGATTGTTCCTGGGTTAGGCAGGGAATGTCCACCTTGCCCAGAGTTGGGAGCAGAGGGATGGGATGGGCCAAATCCTGCCCAAATTTGCTTCCAGCCTTCCCCACCTGCTTCCCAGCACTGCAGAGCAGATGGGTGTGATCACAGCCCTATTTATAGCCAATCTGGGGGGGCCAAGGGGGGGCAGGAGCTGAGGCAGAGGCTGGAGGAGTGCACTGATTTCTCCCTTCAGCTCAAAGACAAAAAGCAGAAGGGAAAAGGAGTGACTTGCTGCAAGAGGAGAAGCATCTGCCAAGCAGCCAAAGCTGCAAATCCCAGACTGGTTTGGGTTGGAAGGAGCTTAGAGTTCATCTCATTTCACCTCCTGCCATGGGCAGGGACACCTTCCACTAGCCCTGCTCCAAGCCCTGTCCAACCTGGACTGAGACATTTCCAGGGATGGAGCAGCCACAGCTTCTCTGGGCAACCTGTGCCAGAGCCTCAGCACCAACCAGGAAAAAATTCCCCATATGTAATTAGTGAGGATCCAAGTGGTTGGGGAGCATTCCAGGAGGGGAGCAAGGGCCCAGTTTGCCCTGGAGAGGGACCACAACCATCCTAGGGCCCTTCCCTGGGTGCTGACACCCAAGCAGGACTGTGCCAGCTCCTCCTCACCCCCAGCTCTGTGGATAAATCCAAGAACTCACTTTCCAGGTTATCCTGCAACACAAGATTGCTCCAAATTCAACCCCAACCCATCACTGCAATTAGCAGCTGAGTTAATCAGCAAGAGGCACATGGCTGGGGAGGCCTGGCTGAGGTGGTCTCCAGCAATCCCTTCCCTTGGATGAGTTGATCCACAATGCCTAAAATCCCACTAGATGCAAGCAGGAGCCTGTGGAAACAACCTCTGCACCTCTCTACTCCTTGGCTCTGTGCTGGTTTTCCACTGACAAGTCCTGCTTGGCTCTTGGAGGATTTCCAGGCTGGAAAACAAGGATAATGGAATAAGGTGGGAGCTGATCCAGCTGGGCACAGCGCTGGGATGAGGAACTCACCCGATGTTTGAGGTAAGACAGGTAAGTGTCCCAGCCCAGGGTGACCACGTTGACATAGACCACTCGGTAGGTGGGAGGGATGAAGAGGAAGTTGAGGAGCTGAGCTGCAGGCCACACACACCAGTCAGCCTGCAGGGGGCAAGGAGAGGTTGGATGCTTCCCACCTCATCCTCCTGGGATGTGCCAGGGCAGGGCACAGAGCTCAGGGGGGATTTACCTTGTAGAATTCCCAGAATTTGTCCTTCAGCTCATCCCAGCTCTCCTTTAGGGACTGACCTTCCAGGGTGCCTATGCCTGGGGACAGACAGTGTCAGTGGAATTGTCAGGTCAGTGTCCTTTCAATGCCAGATACCAAAAAATGCCATGGATACTCCTAATATGGGAGGAAAGGGTAAAGTCTGCACCATCCAGAGGGAATGAGCTCCAGGATATGGGAGTGGATAAGCAGCACTGATCTCTTTGGGACTAGTGACAGGACCTGAGGGAACACAGAGCTGTGCCAGGGGAGGGTTAGGTTGGATATCAGGACAAGGTTCTTCCCCCAGAGGTGTTTGGGCACTGGAACAGGGTTAGGTTGGAGATCAGGACAAGGTTCTTCTCCCAGGGGTGTTTGGGCACTGGAGCAGGTTTTGGTTGGAGATCAGGACAAGGTTCTTCCCCCAGAGGTGTTTGGGCACTGAACAGCTCCCCAGGGCAGTGGTCACAGCCCCAAGGCTGACAGAGCTCCAGAAGTGTTTGCCCAATGCTCTCAGGGTGCATTGTTGGGGTGTCTGTGCAGGGACAGGAGTTGGACTTTGATTCTTGGGTCCCTCCCAGCTCAGAATAGTCTATAAAACCCACACCCAACCCCACCAAGGGCCAAACCCAAACATACCTAGGAAGTACCAAACCCCCAGACCAGGAGATGCCACCAGTTGGTCAATGAAGACCTTCTTCAGGACAGTCTTCTCTCAGGGTGCATTGTTGGGGTGTCTGTGCAGGGACAGGAGTTGGACTTTGATTCTTGGGTCCCTCCCAGCTCAGAATAGTCTATAAAACCCACACCCAACCCCACCAAGGGCCAAACCCAAACATACCTAGGAAGTACCAAACCCCCAGACCAGGAGCTGCCACCAGCTGGTCAATGAAGACCTTCTTCAGTACAGTCTTGAGGCTCCTGACACCACGGGCAGGGAATGCTGAGTCCAGCCAGAGGTACCAGTAGTGCATCACAGGACCCATAGAGCAACCCACGGCAAACATGCGACCTGGAACACACACACACTGTGTCAGGGAGTGGGGATGGAACCTGACAGGGCTGGATGGGATATTGGGAAAGAATTTCTCCCTGGGGGGGTGGTGA